TGAATTGTCTAATTTTAAATTGGTTACCTTTATTATCCTTAAAACTAGATTGTGCATGTGGTATGGACTGACAGGTTAGGCATCCCTTCTTACGACATTGGAAGATGCCTACTCTGTTGTCAAAAAAGCAACATATATCTGAAAACATGGCCAATTTTTTGTGAGATCTTAATTTGCTGGGGGCTAAGATGTTTTTTAATGTGTGTACACATTTGAAAGTGAACGTAGGGTTGGATGGTAATAAAGGGCCTAATTTGGGATCTAGTTCGAGGATATGCCAGTGTTTTCGGAACATACCTGAAATGGCTCTAAACTTCTTATTAAAGCCTGTGATAAATCTAACAGAATTATTGGAAGATGATTTGAATTTTTTTTTTGAGGAATCGATGAATGCTTGGCTTCCAAGATTAATTCATCTGGATATCCATTTCAGAGATTTTTTTTTTTTTTATTAAGGCGTCACTGTGCAAAGTAATCATCTAGTCTTGAGCAATTGCACCTAAGACGATGGAACTGACCATCGGGAATGTTGTCTTGCCAGGCAGGGTGATGGCAACTAGTGTAGTGGAGGTAGGAATTACCGGCTGTAGGTTTACAATAGTTGATAGTTATCTTATTATGTGTGAGTTCAAGATCCAAAAACACTAATTTATCTGGGTCACAGACAGAGGTGAAAGTAAGCCCTAAGGAATTGTGATTACAATGGGATACAAAGGAGGAGAAATCATCTGGAGAGACATACTATATGGTGATAATTCTTGATTTTATTGCTTCATTAAGCTGTTTTATATTGTCTGCTGGTTATATGAACATTACCGTTTTTTATTCTGGACATTCGCCACGAGCACTCTTATCTTTTATGCTTTTCTTTTGACTACATACTCCCTATGGTCATTGGAGCAGCTGTGGGATTGCCTGTCTTTTCTTCACTCTAGTTTACCCGGTGCCGATTGAGGGCATTAGAGCCTAGTCGTTTGTTTTTATAAATGAGTACACCCCTTTTGAAAAGCAAGATATTAATTAATATCTCGAACACAAAAACAATTTCCAAACTTTTGACATAACCGAGTGTTATAGAACATTTCTTTAGCTCATTACATGGAAGGTTAATAATATAACTTAAATTACAAAATCTTCAGTTTTACTCGAATTAGTTAATGCAATAAATACACCCCACAACAAAAACTACTCCATGTAGTATTTTGTATTACCTCCATGATTTGTAAGGACAGCACCAAGTCTTCTAGGCATGGACTGAACCCATTGGTGACATATTGCATCTATGTCACCATCTATCTTTTCCCATTCTTCAAGAACGACCTCTTTTAAGCCTGGATGCTGGAAGGAGAGTGATGCTCACCTTGTCTCTTCAGAAAACCCCGTACGTGCTCGATTGTGTTCAGATCAGGAGACATACATCGCTTTCACCCTGTTCTTCAGAAATGCAACAGTGGCCGTAGATGTATGTTTTGAAATGTGATTTTGGAGGTCATGAAGTGATGGTAGTATCTTCTGTTTCAATACAGAGCAGTACATCTGTGAATCTGATGCCATCAATGAAATGCATCACTCATGCAGCCCCCACAGAAGGGCACTGCCACCACCATGTTTCACTGTAGACACCATGCATTTTTCTTTGTACTCCTCACCTTTGCAACGCCATACAGTTTTGAAGCCATTCGTGCCAAAATAGGAAGAAAAGACAACTCAATGAGCGCTCAATATAAAATAAGCGGCTATGCACAGTAAAAGGAAACCATAAACCTTCCAAATGACACATAAAAGTAAAATAAGTGCAAAGCTAAACATATGAATAGTCCTCAATATATAATACGGAACACATGTATATGATATAAGTTCGTAAAGGGTATAAAAAGTTGGAAGAGCTCCCCCTGGTGACCACCTAACCATACTGAAGAAGCTGCACCCGTGTCCTTAAAGGGGACCTCCGGTTGAATATACCTGATGACATCCACCTATCCCGGCTCGATTCCATTCCTATCCTGAGGGACCCACTGGCAGACCTCCATTATACTATACATTGCGCATAACCATTGCGTATCCGGTGAGTGCGCATTTTATTCGTACCTTGCCTCTCACCTATCCCTTAAAAGGAGTGATGATATTTGAAGCCACACAGAGCTCTTTATACCCTTTACGAACTTATATACATGTGTTTCGTATTATATATTGAGGACTATTCATACGTTTAGCATTGCACTTATTTTACTTTTATGTTCCAAAAAAAATATCTTGGTCTCATCACTGCAGAGTAGAGTCCCAGTAGTCTTCTTCTTTTTCAGCATGGGCCCTGGCAAATTATTGGCAGGCTTTTTTTGTGCATGAACTTTAGGAGAGGCTTCCTTCGTGGAAGACACCCATGTATGCCATTCCTCTGCAGTGTACACCGTATTATGTCATGGGAAACGATCACCCCAGTTTGGCTTTCTACTTTAGCTAACTGCAGTGAACTTGCACAGCAATTTTCTTCAACCCTTTTCTCAGAGGATGCTCCTATCAAGGTGTTAGACATCCAGGCCGTCCATGGAAGTTATATGAGATGGTTGCAGTTACATCTTAGAATACTGCAGCAAAAGTGATAAAAAAAGTTTACAGACAAGTAAAGCTTTGCTAATCTTCTTGTAGCCTTCGCCTTTCTTGTGTAGAGAAATGTTCTATTCTCAGGCCATGTGATATTTCTCTTCCATGTGGTGCAATTGCTGACAGCATGAAATGGGAAGGGGTTTTCTTTGTTCAATAATGCCTTTTTATAATCAACTGTCTGCTGGACACCTGTTTAATGAATAATTAGACTCACCTGCAGTTGCATTCTTGTTATATAATTAGCCTGGCTGAAAAAAAGACTAAAGTCCATCCAGCTCAACCATCAAAAAAATATAATCCTACCCCCACAGTAGATCCAGAGGAAGGCAAAAAAAAAAACAGCAAAGCATGATCCAATTTGCTCCTGCAGGGAAAAAAAATCCTTCCTGATCCCCTGAGAGGCAATCGGATATTCGCTGGATCAATTTTACCTGTAATGTTAGTAACCAGTTATGTGTATCTAGGAAGGAATCCAGACCTTTTTTAAAGCAATCCACTGAACTGGACAGAACCAGCTCTTGAGGGAGTCTAGCTCTTTACTGTGAAGAAACCTTTCCATGTTTGGAGATTACATTTCTTTTCCTCCAGCCATAAAGAGTGCCCCCCTTGTCCTCTGTGATGACCTCAAGGTCAATAACGTTACACCGAGTTCACTATATGAACCACTGATGTATTTATACATGTTGATCATATCCATTAATCTCTTCTTCTCAAAAGAGAATAAATTCCTCTAATCTTTCCTCATAACTGAGCTCCTCCATGCCTCTTATCAATTTGGTTGCTCTTCTCTGCACTTTCTCCAGTCCCCCAATATTCTTTTTGTGAATTGGTGCCCAAACCTGAACTGCATATTCCAGATGAGCTATTACTAATGATTTGTACAGGGGTAAAATTATATCTCTCTGGTGTCTATACCTCTTTTAATACAAGAGAGGATTTTTGTTTGCTTTAGAAACCATAGCTTGGCTTAAGCTTATGATCTACCAGAACTCCCAGATCCTTCTCCACCATTGATTTCCCCAGTTGTACTCCCCCTAGTAAGTATGATGCATGCATATTGTTAGCCCCCAAGTGCATAAACTTACATTTATCAACATTAAATCTCATTTGCCACATAGTTGACCAATTAAACAGTGCATTGAGGTCGGCTTGTAAGTTGGAGACATCCTTTAAGGACGTTATTGGACGTTATTCCACTGCACAGCTTGGTGTCATCTGCAAAGACTGAAATGGTATTTTTAATCCCAGCCCCTAAATCATTTATAAATATATTAAAAAGTAAGGGTCCCAACACTGAACCTTGGGGTACTCCACTAACAACCCTAGACCATTCAGAGTATGAATAATAAACCATTACTCTCTGAATACGATCTTTTAGCCATTTTTCTATCTATTTACATACAGATTTTGCCAAGGCTGCAGACTTTACCTTACACATTAGCCGTGTGGGGAACTGTGTCAAACCCTTGTGCAAAATCCAAGTATACCACGTAGCAAGAACTCATCTATGTGGTCTTTTTATTAAACTCTCCAGTATCTTCCCAACTATAGATGTTAAACTAATAGGTCTATAATTACTTGGTAAAGATTTTGACCTCTTTTTTTCAATATAGACACCACATTGGCCTTATGCCAATCCAGTGGTACTATGCCAGTAATTAAAGAGTCCCTAAAAATTAGAAACAATAGCTTTGAAATGACAGAGCTCAATTCTTTAAGGACCCGTATGCCATCCAGTCCAGGTGCTTTATTCTGTCTAAATATTTCTGGATCATATCAATTGTGAGCCAATGTGGATCATCTGGAGCTGTGTCAATACCATGGCTATTATGGACAAGTGCTCCACCATTCTCCTTTGTATAAACAGAGCTGAAGAAGGTATTGAATAAATTTGCCTTCACTTTGTCTCCAGTCACCCACTATAGATTTGTAAAGGGCCTGCATGCTCGGACCTGACCTTTTTACTATTAATATAGTTGAAGACTTTTTTGGGATTTGTCCTGCTATCTTTTGCAATCTGTCGTTCATTTTCAATTTCTGCGGCCTTTATTTCCCTTTTTCATATTCTGTTATATTTGTAATGTTTTAATCGCTAGCCTACGGGGCACTTATACCCCTTCCTGCCCAGGCCAATTTCCAGCTTTCAGTGCTGTAACACTTTGAATGACAATTGCGCGGTCAAACACTGTACCCATATGAACTTTTTATCATTTTTTGTGACAGAGCTTTATTTTGGTGGTATTTAATCACCTCTGGGTTTTTTTCTTTTTTTTCTTAAACAAACCAAAAACCACTGAAAATTTTGAAAAAAAATGTTTTTTTTCTTAGTTTGTGTTATAAAATTTTGTAAATAAGTGATTTTTCTCCTTCACTGATGTGCGCTAATGAGGCTGCACTGATGGGCACTGATAGGTGGCACTTATGGGCATTGACAGGCATAACTGATGGGCACTGAAAGGCAGCACTGATAGGCGGCACTGACTGGTACTGATGGGTGACACTGAAAGGCAGCTCAGATGGGCACTGATATGTGGCATTGATGTGCACTGGTAAGCACTGATATGTGGCACTGATGGGCACTGGTAGACACTGACAGGTGGCACTGCTGAGGCTACACTGATCATCAGGGCACACTGATGATCAGTGCCCTGATGATCAGTGTACATGTCCCCTCCGCGGAAAGCCGATTACCGGCTCTCCTCTCGAGCTGTCAGCGTGACAGCTTGAGAGGAGAGAAATGCCGATAACCAGCATTTCCCTGTTTACATGTGATGAGCTGTGATTGGACACAGTTGATCACATGACCGAGCCGACATCTTCGGCCTTTTCCATGATCGGTGATTCGCTGTGTCTGAGGGACACAGCGCACCGCCGATCGCCGCACACTCCCTGTGCTGCGCATGCGCAGTGAGAATGGGAGGACGTCATATGACATCCTCCCAGAACGAGAGAACCACCTTGCGCCCGTCATATTACTATATGGCGGGCGGGAGGTAGTTAAACAATCGCGTTCCTTCATTTTTATAGTTAAAAAAGCTATAATAAGAAAAGAGCTTTTATTAACTTTATCCGTAAGCCACATAGGTTTGATTTTTAGCCTTTTAAACTTGTTGTCCATGGGAATATATTTTGCAGTGTGTCTACAGTCTTTTTGAAGAACTCAGATTTCTGTGTTGTGTTCATCGATGCTAATATTCCCTCCCAAACTAAGTCTTGGAGAGCAGCTCTCAGCCTTGGAAAATTAGCTCTCTTAAAGTTGAGCAGTTTTATTTTTCCCATATGTGCTTGATGTTTACAGCTACCAAATGAAATCATGTTATGGTCACTGCTACCCAGATGTTCTTTTATATAAACATTCGTAATAAGCTCTGCATGGTTTGAGATTGCCAGGTCCAGCAGAGCATCATTCCTAGTTAGGCCTCTATGAACTCTACCATGAAATTGTCCTGTAGTAGGTTTATAAATTATTGTCCTTTAACTGTTCCTGCAGTACCATTACTCCAGTCAATTTCTGGTTAGTTAAAATCCCCCATTATTATCACTGTCCCAGCCCTACCTTTGTAGTACGCACCCCCATGTGCAGTTCCACCCATAATGTTTCAGCCTCATCACACGCTCCATCAACTAGGCCCACTTCCACACTCGTTCTAAGATTACTTCTCACATAGAGACAGACACCACCACCTTTCCTTTTTACCCTGTCTCTCCGAAAGAGAACATAGCCAGGAATATTAATGTCTCAGTCATGTGAAGAATGAAGCCAAGATTCTGCAATACCAATTAAATCATAGTTCTTTTTTTGCACCAAAGCTTCCAAATCACCTATTTTGCTTGGCAGACTTCTGGCATTAGTGAACACTTGTTAATTAGGATTTTGTTGTCTAAAATTTAGCTTTGCTCCTAAGACTTTCATTGAGGTGTATTAATTTTTGCAACATGGTCTTCAATTAATTTTTTAAATACTTTTTTGTGTATGCAAATTAACAAATCTTGTTTGCAAGCAATAGCCCGCATATATGGGAGTATTTTGTAGTATAGTGTCCCGTAGAAATTGTTGATTCTGAAAGTAAAGGTTTTTGAGGTGTACTCATTTATGCTGAGCACTGTACATGCTCGTGGGACCTACGTGCACGTTTGCCTTTGTGCATTAGCATGGGGGGTCTTGGGCTTGTTAAATTTATATTTTTTATCAATGTTATTACTATCACAAGAGATAAACAACATTCCTTGTGCTTTTCAGCATGGGCTGTGACGAGTCCTCTTTACAGAGAGATCTGGGGTCTAGGAGAGCAGCTTAACAAACTGAGATCAGTTTCATCAGCTGCTGAACAAGCCAGTAATGGCTTGTAAATAAACAAACTGATGGGATGGGAGAGCCCAGGATAGGTGGCAGGGGGAAGGGGGTGGCCTCCTTCTGCCACCTACAAAAGTGATCCAGTGCTTGTATTGCCGCTCAGATCACTTTACTGAAAGATCATCGACTACTGAAAAAAAACTGTACCAGGATCATGGTTGTTCCATGATTCGGGTATAACCACCTGAGTACGAAGCCATATATACACATTATTGAGGTGGTTAAAGTGTTTCTTACTTTTTTCAACCAATGCCACATTCTACCACTGGCAGTGCAGGATCCAACAGGTCAGGGCTGGCTTTTGACAGATCGCTGGCACAGTACAACTCCTGGAACTGCTTACTGCATATACTGTGGAAAATCATCTTCGCTTGTCAACTCTTACTGCATTAGTAGTAGATACTGCTTTTTCTTTATTAAATCTTTTAGTTCACACTCCTATGCCCTGTTTCTAACTTTTTTAGCTGCCAATGGTTGGATCCTGGATAACCTGGATAACCACTTATCTACTGGATGTGTGGATGTGTTTCACTTGCTGGTTTGTGGTCATCAAGTGTACGGCCAAGCTCAATAATAAATAAACTGGACAGGTTTGTGTCCAGGTCCATTGATCCTTCAGAAGCCACCATTGGAACGTTTTTCGCACTCTCCTTTCCTGCAACGTTGCACTTCTTGTGATCACCTCGATCAGAAGGGGCATCTGACCTTGCGGCCTTATCATGTTAGCAACCATTTCTTGCAGTTTACAAGGACCACATTTTTTTGAGACTCTGGGACTCCTTTTTGCCCAGATGCGGAGCTGATCTTGGCATTTCATTGAAACCAAGACAGGGTGTTGCCTTTTGTCTGCCCACTGCAAGTCTACATCACAGCCATGGTTTTGTGTCATCACTATGACAACCCACGGGTTCCTTAAAGGGACAGATGGCATCTTGATCCACAATTGCAAGATGAATTTAGCAGGTCATTAGTCAGGGGTACGACCTAAAGGGAAAGGTTTCCCCTTTTCCTGTAAAATGTTCACTACACCTAAAGTGTTGATTCTTCGTGGGTTTTTCGGCAATATCAGCTCTTGGTTTTCCAGATCTGTAAGGCTGCCTTCTATGGAGCAGTATTACTGTCTTTTATCCATTTTACTATGAATTTTTTTTTAATAAAAATTTGCTACACAGTATTACAATATTGGAGACATTTGTCCTTGTGTTTTATGTTTTTGTTTCCATACTTTCACGTTGCACCTGGAAACCATAGGAGATCCTATTGAAATAACTGGGCTGAGCCTGGGTGGTTGCCTTTCTTAATCTTTCAAGAGCATTAGACCAATCCGAAGGTCAACATGTTCAGGAAAGCTGCAGTGTTTTATATGTGGGTGTACAAACGCTAGATGTCATCTCCCTGGCTGAGATTGGCCTTTTCTTCAAAATTTTTTTTCTAAATTGGTGCTAAACTTTTGTATACATTAGTACTTGGCATCAAAGTACAGTGTTAGCAGCCCTGGATGGTGTTTATGCCAAGTATGGATTGATTTATATATTTTCACACATATTTGCCAAGCTTTAGCAGGTGGATGGTTAGGCTTTAGTAGACACTGGCCTTGATCCGAAAGTCCCTGAGGGCTTTCTCGGTCTTTTTTCTGCTGTTAAGAGATTGATTGTTGGTGGGCCTGTTAGCCCTTGTTTGCAGTTTCCTGCACAACACTGTATTGCTTTTGGACTAGCCAACGGTGTAACAATTAACTAACTGTCCTGTGATATACAATTAGAAAACAAGGATTTTTTTTTTTTTTTTACTTTCCAGTAAAATTCCTTTCTTGGAGCACATCACAGAACACAGATCCCTTCCTTATAGTTTGAGATTGCTTACTGACAGACCTGAGGCACTGCTGGAAATGGGTGGGGTTATTCAGGGCTAAGTCAAGCTTTGCCCTTTTCCACTGTCCAATCACTTGAAGGTGAAACATAACCCTACGCAGGGCTTGACAAATTTGCTTTGAATCAAGGAGCTGGGTTTTTTTTTTAGTGTAGAATGGGTTGTAAGCACCCGGGATTTCACGTAATGCGAGTTGCCATGCGACACTGCACCATGTTTTATGCACCATTGAAAAGAAAGGCACCTGAACCTGTTTTACAATTACAGCGTTTGTGCTGCGATCCCAAAATGCCCAGGTCTAAATGGAGCCGCCCTGCTTCACACATATGCGATTCTGGATTTGTTTTGAAACTCACAGATCCACATGACAGGCTAGCTATTTTGTGTTACTATTGAGGTGGTTCACATAGATATAATCCCCATACAGTGTACTTTGAGTGTTATTACAAAAGGATCCTACGCGAGTTTGTCACTTGCAAGTCTGGAACACACCACTACAGAGTAGATTGGCATGCGGAGATAAGTGTTCACATAGGATTGCTGTTGACATGAGCTTTCCCGTTTGAAGTCTATAGGTGTTTTCCCATTCAGGTCTATAGGGGTGCAATTTTCCATTCAAGTCAAAGGGAGGCAGTGTGTAAACCCAGGTGCCAGGATGCAATTTTAGATGCCATGGTGACCTGGCGCCTGGGAATTGTCGAGCACTGACCCAGTGGTCTAAGGAGTACATTACAGGACACAGGAGAGTTCATTCTAAGAAATGGATAGTAAACGGTAAATAAAAAATCCTATTTTTTAATATTTGGGACTGCTAGGCACGCTACATCATTCAACAAATAATGCAGGGTGACCAGTAGATCCCTCCTCCAGGTCTTTTAGAGCCTTATGAATAGGTCAAAAGGCAGAAGAAGAGAAAATTACTCTGCTGAAAAAAAACAGCAAGTTACTTTTTCCTGCTGGGCCATGCTTAGTAGAAGGGGGAAGAGAGGTTTGGGGTTGAATTTGTTCTGTGTCTAGAATTCTTGAGTAATTTTTCAAGATGGCCATATCCAGACTAATTTCAGTCAGTGGTTGTAAACCCAAATTCCCAAAACACTATTTCGAACAATTTAGAAGAGAATACTGTTATAGCTTAAATAGCATTCCTGTGAAAAATTCATCTTCATTGGGTTGTTTGCCCTCATAAATCTGCCAATCTGTGGGAGTGGTATAGCAATGAAGCTTGATGCAGGCAGAGACCTAATATCACACTATGGCCTTCCCACCTATAGAGTCTCCCTGTCTGCCTCTTTTTCTATCTCTTTAAGGCTCGTTCTGTCTCCCCTCTTGCTCTCCACAAATCACAAAGCAGAACCCCCATCACATCCTCCAAACACACATTGTTTCTTTCCTGGTCAGACAGTAGTTGCTTAACCTCTGGCCTTCCAGGTGTTGCAGAACTACAAGTCCCATGATGTATTGTAAGGCCAACTGTTACAAGCATAACTCCCAAAGGCAGAGCCATGATGGGACATGTAGTTCTGCAAAAGCTGGAGGCACCAGGGACACTCCCTTTCTCACAGCTGACTGGGAAAAAAAGCAGATCTCCTCCCACAGTCTGTCAACCAACACAGAAAG